TTGCCCGGCGGGCATGCATGCCCTTTGCGCAGTTGGCCCGCGGCGCGGCGCGACCGAGCCCCAGCGCTGTGCGCAAACGGCGCTTTGAGCGCCGCGCCGCCGCACCCAACCGCCAGGCGCGAGCAGCAGCGCTCATCGCTTATCGAATAGAGGCAACGCGTCTCTGACTCCAGCGATAAACACAACCCCGTTTTCTGAGACTTCTTTCGACGATTTTCAATGGTTTGCTACATGATGTTTCCAGGCACGTCAACTGCTATGGACATTAGTTCCTTAAGTGTAATGAAGGTTTTAACTCGGGATGTGGAGCGGTTCCTTCTTCGCTTAATTGCCTCGAACTACATATCGGCCAGCGGAGTACTTCCCGTTTCAGATATCTTCCTCCAGCATAAGACAAATAGATAAAGATTTTTCTTCCCTCTGTCTGTATGCCCTTTATTAGTAAAACGGTATTATTTCTGCCAACTTCAAGAGATAAAATATCTGTCATTAGCAGCTCGAAAGAAGTTTTCTGGCAAATGTATGAAATAGAGCATATTTTCTCGCGTCTTGCAGACCAGGGGGGCCTCTTAGCTTATTCCGACCCAATTTCGCAACAATATTTTTGGGCACGAATGCCACCGCAGAGGCCAGCGTACATATTTTTAACCTATGAGGGGTTCAATTCTGTTCAAGATTTCTCGCAGGTGTGACCTTTTCGTTCTTCCTGGATCTTATTCTATCATTTCTCCATTATTAATTGTAGTAGTTTCCCATAATAATAATAATAATTATTATTATTATTATTATTATTATTATTATTATTATTATTATTATTATTATTAAAATTTACGGAGTATACTGGTATTATTCATTAAACACATTCTGACCACACTTTCAACTTTTAAAACGTAAAAACATAATTTAAATAAATGAAGTTAAATAGATACATAGAAGGTGAATTTTTATTAACTAGCGCCAAGATGAGGGCTAAACGTTTAGAGGTCCACCTCAAATCAATTCAGGTAAATTGAGCACAAAAACCAGGGTGTTCATGAAACATTACGGCAATCTGCACACTCACACGAACATGGTATAGTGTAAACATTGGATAAGAAAATAAGTTAGTAGCACGGAAGCGGTATCAATCAGCTACCCAAAAATGTTTGAGATTTTCCCAACTCAATCGCGGCACGATAGAGAAGGGCCGCCACAGCAAGAACCCGGGACCTAGGGAGACCTGTTTTCATTTCTCGCGCGACATCTGAAAGGTAAGATTCTATAGAGTGCGTCTCTACCTGTGTCCGTCCGGTACTAAAAGACAATCTGCCTGGTCCTCTTCTTAAGCGCAGTATAGAAAATGCAGTCCAGCTACATTAATGTAAACACCGTTTATGTTCGACCTAAACATGCAATAACCCCTCATAAATGGCAGGTGGCAGCACTAACAGTGCAGGGTATATAAGGCGTGTCCGGTGGAAGCGGAAAACAGGGCGCTAGTTGTCGCAATACAGAAACGGAGCGATTTATCGGACGCCCACAAGGGCACGATCATTGGCTTTCGGACCAAGGCGGAAGCATTTCCGAACAGCTAAATTTGTATAGCGTTCGCGTGACGCGTGGTATAAGTATAACGTGCATGAATGTATGCTAACAAATGCCGGAGTAGTATCATGAGAAACTGTCCAGGGACCGCGCACGTTCTTTCCTTCCTCTTTCTTTTTTCTTCTTATAATATTTTTTACTGTTTCTCTCTCCTTTCTCACAAACACACTTATATTCGCTACATTACATATGACGGAAACTTAGGGTTTGTTTCCTTTAGAGGGTGTCTTGCTGGAGATACCGAAAAAGGGGAGCCAATGATTCGCGCGAGCCAGGGGAAGGAACACTGCACTCCCCAAGATGAAATGTCATTTACAGACTAACTCAGTTAAAGACCCATAGTAATTGACGTGCCCGTTCAATCGGTCCAACAAACCCACCGAAATGGCCATCCGTCGCGGGAAGATCTCTGGGCTAGAGGTAGACCGCGTGGAGCACTCCGAGAGTGGGGGTCGGCGTTTGGCGGCGGCGGGGCGGAGGCGGGAGGGGGGCTTCGCGTGCAGCTAAGTCATCGGGGCCGGGCCGGGCGGCGGCGCGAGCCAGTCCTCCAGCAGAGCCGGAGCGGGCCGCAGGAGCGGAGCAGCGCACAAGACCCTGCGCCTCGCCTCGCCGCCGCCGACGCCGACAGCCTCCGACCGCCGCCCGCCGCCGCCGCCAACTCCGCTGGTTCCACAGCCCCACTCGCCGCGCACACCCTTCGCTCCCCGGTTCGCCCGAATCGCCTCCACCGCACCGTAAGTGACCTCCGGGGCCGAGCCCGCACCGTCGGTTCACGTTGTGCTTTCCAACTCGGTTCATTCACATTGCATCTACTTGAAATAAAGCTGGGCAATGTGAGAGACAAATTGTTGCCTCTCATCTTCATAATAATTTACATATCATTCGTTTTACATTCACGTTTGCTATATTTCACAAACACATTCAAAATATTAACTATCATGATTTTGTCTCAATACTATTTACATGTCAAAAATTTATTCTCTGCAAATATAATTGATTTGTATAGAATTTAATGGAAATTACATTTTTACTTTTATAAAAGTGTCGAAAATCATACGTTTTGCCTCTTATTTTGTACAGTTATGTGAAATTCATATGATTGGAAAGCACACTCCTATAGTTAGAATAAACAATATAAGTAAAAATTGACCATTCAGAATTTGTAGTATTCAGATTCGCCAGAATCCAAATCAATCTGCTGATTAAATGTCAACATATATTATATTTTCTGAAGCGCTTGAATTCTACTAGTAAATGCTTTAATATAAATTCAAAACGTTTGATCCTCATATTTTAAATTCGGAATTGGCAGCCAAATACAATTGACGGTACACATGCAATTGCCCTTACGTTTATTGAGTGTTCCTGGAGCACCTGATCATAAAGCGATTCTGACTTCACATTTTGAAAATTACTTCAACTTTAATCGTGTCCCAATAAATTATGTCATTTCTAAATGAGCCTGCGTACATCGCATTGTTACTGCTTGCATTCTTAAGTCCCACAAGTGTCCAGAACGCAATCATCCGTTTATTGACTTGCACACTGTCGACATAAAATTTCACACGTGCTGCAATTACAATTATACTTAATTTGTAATGAAACAAATCTCAAAATTCCGAATTTTTCTTTATATTTTGCGATTGCATAAAATTAACTGTCTTATTTGTTTATTTTTGTGACTATAAACTCCTCGGTAAACTTTCTTTCCTATTTCTCTTGCTCCTTTTACAATTTGTTTGAAAGGATAATCTAAATTTGTTAATTCATAGCTACAAGTGCATGCCAACTTTACACTTACCAGCTCATGTATACGAAATAAATCTTGGCTGCTTGATCCGTTGACTTTGTGCAGAAATCGTGAAAAGATCGTTTGCTATAAAAAGTGCGCATGGTTACTCCTTGTGAGAGTAACAATGTTATCAATATTATCGTTTATAAAGATAGTGCTGGAAATCCTTGTTATGGCTCTCGATCTTAATAAGAAATGATAACTCAGGATATACAAAAATTATGACGGTACGAACTTTCATACTCTCTAAGTAGATAGAATGCGTGAATGGGGAATATTTTAATGTTTATATTTGAATTTATTCCCTCATTTCATAATTTTTTATTTGTAATATCAACTTAGCGATAAACAAATTTACATCTTACCCTATTTTCATTCACCAGCGCTCTTTCAACTATGATGCTAATGAACCATTGGTTTACCATATCTTGGTGCTCGTGAAGCGGTCCAATCACATCCAAGCGAGACTACGTGACGGGATGGTTGTAAAATTGTTTGCCAATGCTACCTGCTTCATTGTTCGCACAGTGGAGTGGACAGACTCGCCGCAGACTGCGACGTATTTCAGACTCGTCGAGTAAATGGGTCGTTTATGGGCGTCCCGCTCTTGCAGGAAGCGCGTTGCACTAATTGGCGAAATCTTCGCCCTGCAATGCAATCTCTCTGCATTTCCTTCCGTAAAGATAGGGATACTCTCCGTTAGTTGTTTATATCTATTGGAGCACGAGCAGAAGCTAAAGATGGCGGTTCCTTGATAAAGAAACCACAATTTATTCCGTTAATAACGGTCTGATCACATGCGTTTCGTATTTAAACTGCCTAATTATTGAAGAGTTCATAATTGACTTGGATATGTAGTACAGTGGCATTTTGTACGAGAAAATATATCTATACGCTGTACGCTATCACTCTTTCTGCACTAATATTCGATGGTGCATAAATGCAAATGAGTGAGAAGATACATATTTGACAAATGACTTAAATTTAGACCGAGCGAAGTGTGGTAATTTTTGAATTCCGTTCCATATTTCGTCTGTTTTGGTTTTTACGTGTTACGAGAAAACGCGGCTGGATTTTATTTTTATTTTGCATGAATATTCCTTGAAATAATTAAAAACTTCCAAACGATGTGTAAAGATCTTTTTGGCGGAGGTCCATTAATTACAGAATTACTAGAACCTAAATGTATTTAAAAGTATTCCAATTATTTATGACATGAGGAGTAATAGTGACATATTGTTATGCGAATAGGCAATGTTGCGACGTAAGGCCGATAGTTCTCGTGTCGCAATCTTACGAGTAAAATAAATATATTTTGCCACGTGTGTCATCTACTATTTTTTAGACAGCCTTACTGACTTTCCTTGTATTTTAATACAAGTATACAAATCACTTGGGATCTCTGTTGCAGTAAGATCAGTTGCAGATGAAAGTATATCGTTTTCTTTGTTGCATTCACAGTTTTATCTAAACATTTGGGGTATCTCACTTTTAGCACCTTTTGCTACAAATTGAAGTTTTAGCCCGCTATGCCTAAAGCAACCGCGTTTACTACTTGCTGTAAAAAAATATTTTCAGTTCATTAACTTTCCATTCCATTTCAATTGTTAACACACACGTCAATCGTTCTTCGTTGTTGTGGATCAAGTTCTTGCTCACGATTTCTGCGAGGAGCGGGATCAAGGAACGCGAAAAAAGAGCAGGAAATGCTGCACAAGCCGCGCACGCACACACGCGTGCAGTCCCTCGAGAATAACTCTTGTAATCCTCTCAAACGACGATGTAGGTCACGGATCTGCGCGCGCGCCCTGTGTTTATTTACGTTCACAAAGCCTGACGCCCACAATCAGAGAGCTGGCGGGGAGGGCAGCACTTGTCTTTACACTCCACGCGTTAATGTTGAGTGGTCGCCACAGAGGGTGAGAGGTGAAAGACGAATATGTCGTATAACACAACCTGTAACGAGAATGAAATGGCATACTAACGTGAATCACGCTAATAGACTACTGGAGACAGGCCCATTGGTTAGCATGCTTGCTTTACACGGTACAACCCCCGGTTCGATTCCCGGCTGGACTAAAATTATAACTGTGCTCTTTCCTTTCAAATGTCCCAATATCTACTGCTGTGTGGCGATGAGAAACCCCATCCTAAGATTATTAAGACCATAATATACGGTGGAGGGATCTCTTCGTACTAACTACTAGAACCCCTTATCCCATGACCGAGAGGCTGGACCACCGCTGATCGGCCACGGCTCGTAGCGGGCTGTCGAGCCAAGGACAGGACAGACTACTGGAGTCATCTCGAATCGGTATTCCGTAATACAACCATTAACATAAGCATTGGGTAGAAAAAAAATTACAGAGGGCCACGTAGTAACAATAACTCAAGTTAGACAAAAAAAATTCATATCGAGCTTCGTGATTAACACGGCAGTGTACCTTTCACTCTCAAGGCTAATGTTGCGCCCTGCGCTTGTCTACGTACATAGGCGCGCGGCGGCTGACACAGCATGCCCTCTGAGAACGGTTGCAGTGGGCTGATTGATTGTATTTTCTGTTTCCGGGCGCGTCAATTATTATGATCTTTAGTCCTGTTAATGTACTGAATGTTGTATCCCCGGAGGGTAGCAGGTTCCTCTCCCGCTGGATTCGGTGCCGACGTACACGTAGGCTTGCGGGCTTTCTCTTTGCAGGTATCTCCACCAGCCACGATCCAGCTGATCCAGTAGGACAAGCTCTCAAGCTACTGATATGTATGACAACGAGCAATGTTAAGTGTATGTGTGTGTGTGTGTGTGTGTGAGAGAGAGGAGAGAGAGAGAGAGAGAGTGGAGAGAGAGAGTGAAAGAGAGTAAGGGGAAGGGAGAAGACAAGAATGAAGGGAATATTGCCCGCGGAACCGAAATCATAGAAAACAATAGATCAGAGCATCCGGTCGCGGAAAATCATCCCCCAGACAGCGGCTGAATTCGATCTACCTACCTAGCTACTGTCTAAAATCCGTCACCGTCAGGATTCTAAGAACTGCCGGAGGCACTACAGTGACAACAGTTGTTACCCTGAGCTATCTCAGTCCTGTACACTACATAGTGTACTCACTAACATTCAAATAGCAATCTCATACGTCTAAAGGTGGCGACACGCATTCAGCGTATTTGGGCACATCAAGCACAGCGAGCATGCGCCGAGCACCCCGGCAACTCGGGACTGTGCGGATAGTCACTCGCCGAAAGCTGGATGTGTGACTCAGCTTTGTCGGAGCATTTACCCCTTATTTTTCTTATTGGCTCTTTCTACCTGTTATCACTAATAACACATCGATCGCTGCCTTGTCGATATTTCCATCACTTAAGTCAAAAACTCTGCAGCACGGCCGGCCGCCATCAAAACTACTCTCGCCTCCTCCGTGTGGCTTCTCCAAGCCGCGCGTGTCGCCTCGTGAGCGAGCCTTTTTCCTCCTGCACAGTGTGCCAAAATCACACCGAAAGTGTTCACATTAAATCATTTCTTGAACGTAGATTTTCAACAGACAACAATTTATTGTAATGTTGAACAATACTACATCAATGTCTGATTGGTTTTGCATAGACCAGTTCCAATTTCTGTAGCATGAATTCAGGTCAGCGATCATTCACTTTCCGAACTCAGTAAGGCCCCCCTGGAAACTCAAAGAATATTGTTATTTATGTAAATAAATATAGTTACGTGTCACGACGTGCGGGTTTCAAATCAGAGGTAACAAATTCAATAACATAAAGCGTTCAGATCACATTTTTAGTGCTTTACAAGTAATAATTTCACAGTAATGAAATTGAAGATTTATGCCTATTAAACATATTTTATCGGGAAGAGTCAGTATACGCATTCAGCCGGATAGTTGAATCAACGAAAATCGACGAAAAAATCAACGAAATTCGGATAGCGTATAGCAAAGAAG